ATTGTTTTTAATAAATTTATTATTAATTTGTTATAATTATCTAATAATTTCCCTTTTTTTTATATTGCAACAACAATGTGTTAAAGAAATAAACATTCCTTGCTTTACAAATAAAAAAGAAAATTTGATCACCTTAAATGAGTGAAAAAAGAAATCAGTTCTGCCCACAGTCACCACTATATATGACAAGAGGCGCGTAGTAGATACTAAAATGAAAAAATGCAAAAAAAAATGCATCAGATAATGGAGTTTATTTAGTTTGGATTCCTAAATTTAATTTTTCTAGTTTTCAAAGTTGATTTCTATGTATTGAGCCTGCCTTTGCAACTGGAGTTCAAGTGACCTTAAAACAGTACAGCTATTTCATCCTAACATGATCTATTTTAGGTATTGCTTTCATTGGTTTCAAAAAGATAAAGAAAATGTATCCAACCAGCTCCACCACTTTAAAAGTTTAAGGATCTTCAGTGCACATTAAATCATAGTTTTCAATTTCTTTAAGAACATTTTTGCTTCACTTTAATGAAAAATGTTCTCAAAAAATGCTGGATTAGGGTTAATCCAGTGTGATATTATGCTATTGGAATCATTTTTAAAAAGTCACATTAAGGCTTTTTAATGCTATAGTAAAAAAAGTTTTATTAGTGTTTTCCTTCCGCATGACACCAGAAAAGGTCTTTAAAGGCTGTTTTAAATGAACTAATAACTGTACATAACCCACTGACGAATACACCAATGTATTAAAAAACATTTGCTATGGTACTCAGCTATGGTAGGTATTTAAGGGTTAACTTACTTGTAAACATAAGTAATTATAAGACAAATGCACAAATTAACACCCAAACTATTATGACTCATCAACGGCTTCATTTTCTTGTTTTATTATTTAGGCTTTCACAGGAAAAAAAGCTATACATGTTGATACTAATACTGGTAAACACATCTTGACATATTATGTTTCACAATCCATAGTATTAAAAGATGAATAAAGTACCATGTAACATCTATAGATAGCCTAACATACATCTACAGATATCTTACTTTAAAGACAAAAGGCTCTCCTTGTATGCATTGTAAAGCAAGTTATTAAAAAATTTTGAAAAATGTTGTGATAGTTCAAAAATACGAGCAGTAGGAAAACAATACAGTTGTGCAAAATCCCATATCCTCAGACCATACTGCAAACACGCTGGTTAGCGAATTGGACGGTTATTGTGTGGTTTATATATATATTAATGTGCATTTACATGTCCTTCCATTTTTCCCAGACTTGGTTCCTTCAGTCTATGAGACGAGTAATAAGGCTAAGGCTAACTATATGTGCAAACGTTGACTACTCATGTACACACAGCAAAGATCTGTTGAACACTTAAATCCGTGCAGATATGCATATAAAGTACGAAAACACCAAATACTTCAGGTCGATTTAAATGCAAAGAAATGCAACTTAGTATCATGCAAATATATTTTTTGTGCGGATATTCTTTTTTCAGGTAAAATATTTGATTTTACACAATCAGAAAGCAATGATGCTGTATTTTTTGGAAACCACAGACATAAATGGATATGAAGAATATGATTGATTATTTTCATCTTGTTTTGTACCAGACGCCCTCAAATTTATTAACCAAAGTCTTCTCACTCTCAGCAGCCAAGAATCCTTTCCAGTGATTTTGTTTTTCTTTTGAACTCCCAATAAAAAATGGTTCCACATCTTATTACTATTTCATTGTCTTCACATCATGCACACTGACTTTGAGAAGCTCCCTCTGCCACTTTTCAACGACAAAAAACAGATGAAATACAAATGTGATAAAAAAAAAAAACAGGCTGAAATTGGCCTAAAAATCCTTTGCTAAATCTCTGTAGAAGAATTGACCTTCCTGCTTACTGCTGCATTTTGAAAATTACTGTCTATCCAATTTTTTGAATACTCTGTCCATGATACAGATAAAATCAAACACATTTTTGCAATGTTGCTTTGCTTTCCAACTGTAAATTCACCTTGATAACAGCAAGGCTGTTACAATAAAACAAGATCCTCAGGATATCTTTTTTTTTTCCCAAAAGCTTCAAAAGACCTTTCAGTCGAAGCAGTCCTCCAGTTCTCATTGCATCTTCTACAATGCAGCATAGCAGCAGTAACTTTCTCTCTCTGCATTCATTTCTTTTTTTGTTTTTTGGCTCCGCTGGGTGAGGCACTGCCTCAGTTTTTCTCCCGGCCTCACCCAGCAGGCCTCAGAGTTTAGGTGACAGCACTGGTTGTGACGGTGGGAGCGGTGGTGCTCCTGCTCTGGCCTTTCCTTCGCTTCCCACCTCCACCTCCTCCTTTTCCTTCTCGTCCTCTGCCACGTGCATGTTCCCTCTTGTTTGTATCACCCTGTCTGCTGCCCTTATTCTTTTTCTCTGAAATGACAATGCAGAAACAACATGATTAATGTTTGCTTTTCAAAGGTAGTCTTGCAAGGCATTAATCATCCAATGTTTTCATGGAGAAATTACCATTCTGTCTTGTCAAAACTAAAACATATACTGTTGAGGGAAGCTAGAAACCTACTGATGAGGGCAACACAACAGCCAGTTACTATTAAAATAATCCAGACAACCCTTTTAAAATACCATGATTTTGGAAAAGGGATACGATCAACATCATTCAAAATATTTCCCAACTTTAATGTGACATATTCTGCACAATTCCCTTCAAAATAAATCCATATTTTAAAGGGAAAACATATAAAGAAGTGGTAGAAATGTACAAACCCTTGAACTATTTCTTTGTCAAAACTCCTTTTGATTCAGTTTCAGCTTTAATTCTTTACCATAACCTTATTTTTTTGACCTGGCAACAATTGCTCATGAGCTCATGCTCATAAAACTGTAAAACAGGTGAAATCTATTGTTCTCAGCATTTGTCTGGATTAATTCGCAGATTCTCGAGCTTCCTAGCAGAAACCTGGGGGTTATGAGTGAGTATTGTTTACAATTTACCATTGTTTTCTGTCACTATTCAGATTTATGCCATCTGACTTTTACATATGTCTCTTTAGATTTCTTAATCATTTATAGTCTCTCTGATCTAAGTTAAAAGATACTAGAAAAACTGATGAGGTCAACCCTTCACAAAGATTAGCAGGGTGAACTGGGTTTGGTGGTAGGTGTGTTCCAGTGAACACAGAATACTGGAGTTAAATTAGAATAGCCAAGACAAAACTAGCCAGAATAGAATAGAATAGAATAAAAAAGCATTTATGATCTCACAGTAGGAACATTTAGAGAGTGTTTTCACAAAGTAAGCATGTGCACATTAATGCAGCCAGGTCTTCTATTGTTCTTTTTTATATTTTTCATTAACCAACTATCTCTTTTGCATTTCAGTACAGAATCAATTTCTCATTAAAGGTTCTAAATTCCTTTGAAGTTTATTATGTTGGTCACAAGTTCTATATCATAAAAACGTTTATTTGAAAATGTGGAGGTAGACTTTTCATATCTGTACTTTTTACGTTTAGAGTCATATGAACTATGAGTGTATTGTATTTAGATCAGGTTAGGTAAATTTAGGGTTTAAAATGTTATCATTCAGTCAAACTAAACATTTTAAGTCAGGGGTTGAAAGAGGTATCATCCCTGTTGCGGATATTTTAAATACCAACACTTTCAGGAATTTGATTAATTTTAATACGATGGAGTTTAAATATGAAAATAAATAAAGTTTTAGGGGAAGGGGTTAAATATTCTTATCGGAGGCATTTGGGAAGCAAACTATACTGGCATGGTGACACGGAAGGCAATTTCAGAAAAGCTTTTTTGTTTAAATGGTTTGGACAAAATGAACTACAACTCTTGTATCTGGTGCAAAGCAAAAAATGCAAGCATACCTTCTAAAGAGCTCCATAAGAGTCACTGGAATAATTTCCAGAAAGGCAGCTGCTACAGTAGTTGCAATTATCAAAGCTATATCTTCAGAAATATGAATGTTGCAAATTACAGAAAACAACAGAATAAATATCTTTGTAAATGGAAGAAGTCAAAAAACGGATGATTGCAAATTTTTGCATCCTCCATTAGAAATGATGTGCAGTAGCTATAACAGCTTTGCACTCCTTCCCAAGTATTGCACAAATATATTTGAACCTTGGGGAAAGGGGCTATTTATTAGACTTAGACTTTATGTATTAGTTTAAACAGTTGTGTTATTTCTAGACAGAATCTTGTATATTTGTAAATAGAATAAGTCTTTATATTTCAGATTAACATTATCATTTACAGCAGCAACCATGTCAACACTTGAGCACCAATACTGTACAAGCTCACTCCTGCAGGAACAAGCCAGCTCTAAATGCTGTATATTTGCTTACAGTCAAGGAAAACTAAAATTATCATCTCTTTAACGTCAACAAAGAAGAACTTTTGTAGCAACGGATCAACATTAGTAGAGAACTTAAAGCCCAGCTGTCCTGAAAGACACATGGGACCGATCTGGCAGTGGTCTCTTAGTCTGTTTAATTTAGGTTTCAACAGCTACTCACTCCTGTGTCCCACTTGACAAACCCTCCACACCTTCTCTCTGCTTAAGCTCTTATATACACCTGTCACAAATTTAAAAGGCCTAATTGCTCCATAAAAAAAATAACAAAAAACGTCCACATTGTGGTTAGTTTCCATATATTATCTGTTAAAAAAATTGGATAAGTTAATAATTTTGATGGCTTATAAGAGTACTGTGGGTAGTGAGGTAGCAATGTTCTATTTTAAAAACCCTTTAAAAAAATCACTTTAGCTTTAATTATATGAAGATTTTCAAGGACCCAGTGATAGCCAGTTAACAAAGAGGAAAACAGACATTAAAGTCTAAAAGCCACTGAAACACTGTGTTTAATTGCCCTGTTTTAAGATGTGCACTTACAATGGAGACAGACTGATTCAAAATGAGTGAAGTCACTTTGGAGCCTCCAAAATAAACAGACAAACGCCACACAATCAACAGTTACATCTACAAAGTTCATATATTGTGAAGAAATCATCATACATCATACATTCATTAAACATAGAGTAAATTATTTCAAGCTTTTATATATGAATACCAAAAAATGACAGTGTAATACAATCTTAATGTCATGTAAGAGCAATAGAAAAATACATTTCCAACAGAAATGGAAAGCTTCTTTGATATCAATCATGTCATCTCAATTAAATGCAATGACACGTTCAAAATGTAAACACCCAATAAAACTATGCACGAACAGTTGAAATGAAACATGTAGAGAATGTGTGAAACAGTCTTTGAAAATATTTCCAAAACATGGGTGGACGCACACAATGTGTAAGGACTTAATTACTTCTCTAACAAATCACTGATGGAGCCAAGAGACGGGGACTCCATCAGTTTATGACGGCCCTGATTGCACCTCCTCTCCATCCAAGCTAAACAGTTTTGCTTGACAAATGCAATAACACATGTAGCAAATCCTTTTTCGTGAGACTTTTTTTGTGGAGCTTCAGGAAACAGTGGGGGGAAAAAAATAATCACAGCCAATTCAACACAAAGCGTGAGATCTGCAGACCACTAAATCACTAATGTTATACAAGATCTGCCCCCTGTGTTTTATATAGCCCTACTGCCAGCCAGCTCCGACAGATGAATCCACAGCTGTGCTCTTTTACCCACATGAATTTGTTCACTGGTGTAACAGCGCCATCACCCATGAATTATTCTGCAGATACAAATCATTGCAGTCCGGTTTTGCAGAAGTAAGGCAAGTGAAAAGCTGAGAAAAGAAAAAAAAAATCCCTGTAGCATTAACAGTCAGTTATTATGTGATTATAATTTAACATTTGTCACATAAAACCTTCTGCATCATCCTTTCTTTTTATCATAAGCTACCTTTGCACACAGTGTAGGTAGAGTAGTTTATAATTTTTCACTGCTAATTATACTTTTGAACTCAAAGCTAAAAGTTTTTCCAAGAAGAAATCATAAGAATGAATTTGCTTCTCGTTTCTGATGGAGTTAAAATCCAACCGAAAGCCAACTTCTCTATGAACAACTACAATCCTTCATCCGCGCAGATCTGAACAGGACACTGTCAGATCATGTTCTGTTGTTTAGATCCAGAACCCGAGAGGAACTTTCCAAGTTTAGAGAATGGTAACATAATATGCGGGCCCTCCCCATGTTTACTCACATACAGTATATCGGGGCAGGCCATCTGTTAGATGTTGAAACATCTGTACTACTGCCAGGGCTGTGCAAATGTTGTTTGCCAACGTTGCTGCTGTGGCCGAAACCCCCTAAGCGTGCCACCGTCCAATAAAGACTTTAAATACTCCTCATTTAAAGTTCTCCTTGCCCTTGTAAATAACTTTACTATTATAGCCCTGTGAAAATTGGAGCATTATGTATAGTAAAGGAAACTGACATACGGGGGCATTTAGAGAGAAACTGATTTGCTAATAATTCCGAATTAGCATTAATACTATTGTAATTAAAGGGATTTGACCTAATGAATTTAAACAAGTGGGTTCAATAGCTACTTAACAACAAAGAAGAAGTATTTGCCCTCTTAATAGATTTTTTTGTTTGCTTTTTTGTCACAGAGCTTTTTTTTTATTATTTAGATCACACAAACATATGCAGAGAACATGAGCAAAATTAAGGAAATAAAAAAAACATCCAAATGTTATGTAAAGTATATCCCTCCCTTTGTTAAATCATAATTTGAATGGGGAAAAAGTGAATTAACTGTTTTCAGTTTCTGTGACCAGTTTCTCTTTACACTTGTCAGACAACATGAGTTAAAAGATCTCAAACTCTAGAGGCATACAGTACAAGAAAGGAAGAGAAACTTGGTGACATTTTTTGTCTGGCTAGAGTTACAAAGCTTTGGACTCCAGCAAAACCAAACTGAAAACTATGAACAGCGGTAAACCCTCTGAACAAGGACCAGCCTAAAAGTATTACTCCAAATGCTTATGGAATGTTTATGATTTAACAGTAAGAATGAGAGTGGGAACATTTTAAACTCAAGGCAAAAACCAATGTTTATCACAAAGAACGCAGAGGCCCATCTTACATTTTCTCAGAAATTAAATAAAAACAAAATACTCGTAACCACATTTGGAAAATATTCACTGGACTGTTGAGACAATAGTGGACCTTTGTGAAATGTACAGTATGTGCAACATGTCATATGATATAAAGCTGCACAGCATTTGAGGAAAAAAGCCGTTATACCAACAGTAATACAAGAGGGTCAGAGTATTATGGTCTGAAGTTTACTTTCCTGTTTCAGGGCCTGAATGTCTTGTAATATAAGATGAAAACATTAAACTGCCTATAGAATGCGAAATGAACTTTTTCTGAGCTCTTGTCATTATGCCCTACTTTTATCAATATAGTGCCTAGAGGGGTAGTGTGCTTGTTTCAGGCATGTCTGGGTAATCCTGAGGAATTCTGTTCCCTGAGCAGAGGCTGGTGTCCATCACCGTTTTATGTAGAGCATCACCTGCTTCCTCCAGTAAGCACCAACTTTGAACGTGTTGCGCCTGCTCAGTAAACAATAAGCTCACTTTCATGTGAGGCAAAGCGTAATAATTTCTAGAGCGAGGGGCTCTTTTTGCAGCTAATCTGTACAGTGACAGCGACTAATGTCTTAAGTTGTGAAAATGTGTTGTTTGGTTGCAAGTTATCTGAGTCCCTTCCTTAATGGAAACCTAATGGACACTATCAACTACTTCCTGAACTTAAAAACAGCTCCTTTGTTTAATGTCTTTCATTATTGGATGAACTGATTAATCCATGTGTGTCTGGCCATTGTTGTCAAGGTTACTGAGGTCAGGTAAACCTGGATTAACACTATCACTATCTCCCAGAGTGGTGGTGTAGAGGTAGCCCTTTTTTCCTCATTGTTTTGGGTCAAAATGTTTTTTGTTTTTAAATCCATACTAGGAACTGAAGGATCGATATTATATTGGGCAACTGAAACCATTTTTTCCAACACCCCTATTTTTAACGTTGGAAAAACAACAACACGAAAAAAAAAACCTAACATTTCATACACAAATGAATACTCCGTTGGGTAATATGTCATCATACATATATTTAGAATTGACTTTAGAACTGTATGATTTCAATAGTTTTTGCATGTATTAACTCTGTGAAGTAATTTTTTATTTGCCACAAATAGGTAGAAACATCATGGCCTTTTTCCTGCACTTTTTGTTCAACGTACATGGTAGTTTGTCTGTCAGTTGTCTTTTAATGGCCTCAGCAGTGAAAATTTTAAAAAGCAACCAATAAAAGATTGTGAAAGCAGATAATGGCCACTAAACAGTGAAAATGACTATTAACCTGCTGGAGAGCAGGCGACTGTGTGCAGGCATGAAAATCTCTTGCTTAAGTGGTCATGAGAAGCCAATAGCTCTTTTTCTAGGTTTTTAGATTCCCTTCCAGCTTAGCAATGCACAATGTCCAGCCATCATCTGTTCAGCTGGTGGTTCAGCAGCTTTATTGTTTATATGTGTTAATCTAGGGAGACTCTGTAACCTTCTGTGTCCTCTGCCAAACTAAGCCCAACAAACATACTGCAGGTCAAAGACACACCGGTGAGCAGGCTGATCTTGAGAAGTGAGTAATGAGACTTTGGATGCCTTTTTAATGCACATTCTTGCCTCTTATTTGTTGTCTGAGTAAAATTATGCTACATTTTATAGGGCACTCTGAGTTGTGAATCAGCTCTTTTGGATTAGTGTTTTACCTCTTGCACAAGGCGTCTTGGTCACCGTACACTTCCTCCTTTCTGTACTTGGAGCACAGGTCTGTGAGGGCACAAATGCAGGGGAGGTTTCCACACTGTGAATCTGGGGAAGGGGTAAACGAACCCGGGTTTGTGAGCCTTTCTTAAATCCACAAGTCTTGTTCTTCTTCATGCAGGAACTCCATTGGCTCCACTCTCCTAGTTCACATTCTGAAGCATGATGACCTGGGACAAAAAAAAAATACACTGAATATATATATATATAATCACGTTCAAACAACTTTTGGGCTGAGTGAATTTTCCACAGCTTCAGCATCTCACATTCACTTCATATTTTCTGTGTGCTTTTCACACCTCAGTAGATTTGATTCAGGATAATGAGCTTAGGGAGCCTGCACATCTGAAAACAATTTGTGATTTGTGGATGGATTTATAGCAGGGGAGCAACAGGTTTAGGTAGTTGCTAAGAAACTGAAAATGTGTTGTCTTTAAGCAGACTCTGCATGTTACAAATATGGATGAGAGCAGAGGCAGTTTAACTGAGAAATTCAGTGCCTTGGAAAAGTATTTATACCTTTGGAGCACAGAAAACACTTTCCATGAGACAACTAGGCGTTTTCTATTGCTTTTATGCAGCAAAAAAACACCAAGTAGTTAATTATGTTAAAATTTTTATATCTTTCACTTGACCTTAATTATACAAGGTAATTGAAATTCTAACTGTATACACTATCTTTTTTTTGACTATTGAGCCGAGGTAACAAGTAATTTTCTCCACTGTGAGATCAATAGAGTCAATCAATGAATCAATTAATCCTTTGAGAGCAAATTTTTATGGCATGGCTAAAATGCCCCATCAGAAGAATGAAAATTTAAGGAAAACTATTCAATGCTATTCAAAAAAATTACACTACATGATTTCATTACATGCAGTGAAAGAAATTATCATCGTCATAAGAGAGCATTAATCAGAGACTCAGCCAAGAGGCTGAAAGTAATGAACTGCAGAGGTCCACATGCAACAAACAAGGTGTAACTATTGCATGAAATGACTATCAGTTGTGGGAGAGGCAGGAAGAAAGATGTTGAAAGAAAACAAAACAACTTAATTAATTGACCTTGCTTGGTGCAGAAGAGTGGCAATATCATGCTATGGGAATTTTCTTTTTTTCTATGCTATATTTATCAGCAGGCACAATACAAGCTGGTTTAAGTTTATGGAATGATTAATGAAACTGCAAAACAGCTGAAGCAAAGGTTCACCTTCTTACAAGACAAAGGCGATAAAAATACAGCCCACGCTTTAGCAGAATGGTTTGCTTAAATCACATCGGCTGATCTAATCATAATTCAGAAACAAAATCTAATTAGGAAACTAGGGTAGGAATTAGAACTTGCAGTTCAGACCGTCTGGAAATTAAGAGTGAGAGACATAACTAAACTGTTGCATAAAAAGCCAAACAGAAATATGTCAGCTACTTTTTGGATGTTTCTATCTTTTCTTGAAACTCAAAAGGTAAATGATAAATGCCTGGCATTTCAAGTTACCTTTGAGTTGTTTAAAAGGAAATTAGATTTTCAATGCTGTTTTTTAAGCACTGATCTTGACAGACCTGTTTGTGTCGTTTGACAGAAATACATGAACAAGAAAAAAATCTTTGGGAATGTTGTAGGTTTCAGCTCAATTATTTAGGTAGGATGAGGTGGTCAGCACTGTTTATATGTTAAAAGGGCTGTTTTTATTATTATAATTTGGTAATACTCTTTTTAAGCCATAAAATAAAAAATATAAAATTGAACTTACCCTCACAATCCATGGTGTTATTGGCAGTGTGCTTGCCTGGAGGGCAGCGGACATAACATCGGCCACTGTGCGAATACAAACCCTCCTTACATTTTGTGCAAAAGTTGCGACTGAAACATGCTTCACAATTTTCTATTTTACACTCTGAAAGACATACAGACAAAGAGAGAGTATTACAAGGATGGATTTAGTAAAATATGATTTCTGTTGTATTTTTCAGTCTAAACATATAAAGTTTTTAGACTAAGCAAAATATACCTTTTTTTAATGAATAATTAGTAATTGGAAAACAAACAAGATGTCTCTCTTTAGAACAGTAATAGTTTCCTTTAACAAAACCTGGCACAGGGCAGATTTCTTTTTTTTTTTTCCATTTTACCATGGAAAGCAAGTTTAAATGAAAGCTGCCAGCTTAGCTGTTACTGGCCTGTTCAGTCAGTTAGCAACAGCTTCTACAGCAGATTTCGCAACAGTATATTTCTTAACATCCCAAGCATAAAAAGCTGGAAGCAAGGGTACCTAAAATGTGACTTTTCACACACTTTAACTTCTGTTGTCTCATTACATTGAAAAGGTCGTTTGCTGGGTGCTTGTGGCCATAAAATCTGTTATCTAGTCTTTAAAACATACATGCACTTATGACCCTTTGGTATTATAATAAAACAAGCAATCTCCTGTCAATTTAAATAATCATCTTACATCCAAACAGTGTGAAATTGTAAATATCATGACTTAAATTTAATTTGCTGCTTCTTTTTTTAATTCAGTTTTACTGACCACATTTAGGCCTGACATGCAGAACATAGAAATAACATAAATAAAACCTCTGACAATTTAAAGTAGATACATAAATCTCGAAACATAACGCAGCATTTGTGGTACTATTATGAAAGAGAGACCCAGCAGCAATGCCAACCATTATTAAAAATTAATTTTCATTTGGTAAACATCCCCCTCAGTTTCCTCCTAAATGCTATCTTAAATATTATATTGACCTGATATGACCCAAAGCTAAACATTTGAAAGGTATGGGTCTTCTTACATTCAGAATAAGACTTACAGAATTAAGGACAAGGAAGCCTATATCAATGGCCAAACACGGTATTAGTGGAATGCTCTGGTCTAGATGACTTTCTGTAGCTGATGGAGCAACAAATTTTGTAATATCAGCCAAAACTCTTTGATTTTAGGCTAACATGCATTTATTTTGGTTATTTAAGGCAGGGAAATGATCCAAGGCACTAAACATAGAAAATTAAGATTTAGATTAGGCCTTCAATAACTCTAATTAAGATGCAGCAGTTGAATTTCAACTAATCAAGCTACCAATATACCTAAAATAAGACAAGTCTGAAAAGAATGGGTCAGAAATCCTCCATATAGACTCAAAAGGACTCTTTGAGGATGAGGATTAGTTTTCTATCTTCAAGAAAGAAAATCATAATTTTAAAAATTGCTAATTTCATAAGCTGTTTTTGTCTGGTAATAAAAAAATATTATCTTAAGAATTAAGTGTGAGAAAAAAATCAAAATGGGAGAACTTGGCTAGGTGTTATTCAGTTGAAATATTGAGTAAGTCTGAAAAACATTAAACATTAAAAACCCTCAGTGCTTCTTTCAAATATGGAGTAGGATAGCTCCATTATTATGAATTATTATTAATATTATTTAAATTTTTTATTATTATTAATATTATTTAAATTTTTTATTATTATTAATATTATTTAAATTTTTTATTATTATTAATATTATTTAAATAAGACCTCTTTTTTAACACTCATTGATTTCTAAAACTTTCTCATAACGTATCTACATTGATTGCACTAGATATATCATTGATTAGAAAATGAGGAAATGTAGATATCCAAAAGGTTCCCCTGAGGCTCTATTGGGGATAAACATTATTCACAGATATGATGAGATCTTGCTAAGAAATAAATGAAAACTGGTAGAAATGTATTTACAGGCTTAACATTTGGCAGCTGGTTTAAATCCAAGACCAGAAAGGATTTTACACTGGATCCCTCAGTGAGATCTTAATGCGCTTTTTTTTCCTTCTAAATACTAATTTCAAGCATTGACAGCTAAATTTGAAAAACAATGTTTGTTGCATGATAATTCAAGACAAATGTTGCTAACAAGACATTCAAGGATTTGATGTAAAAGGGCAGATGAGTGGATAATAACCCCAGTCTACCCACTAAGTGCCTTCTGAAAGAATTTGAGAGTAAAATGCAGCCATTTGAAGGAGAGAATTGAGAGGGAACTGCAAAAAAATATGTTTCATGTTCTGTTATGTCCTGTTTTATCCACAGAGTTTCTCTGCAAAACATTATTAGATTACAGAAAGTAATTTATCAGATATAATCTAGCTTGCCATATTAAGTAGTTAAAATAAGTATCTATTTCCTTCTTATGTGATTTAACATGTGCAACAGGGATATCAATTACATTTTAAGTTTACTCATAACCCAAAACAGCAACTGACTGCATACAGTTACAAAAGTGCATTGCTATAGTGAAAGCGTAACAAACACCCCCTGGCCTGACTTGCACAACTGTGCCAACTGAAAAACAGAAACGCTGAAAAACAAACTAAAAATATTTTCATTGGGATTTTTTTTTTTTTTCGTCCAATTCTTATTTCCACCCACATATAAAAGAAAACAAACATCAGACCGAGCTCCTGGCACTCTTCACCTATAAGCACTGGGGCCAGTACCATATGAGAAAAAAAGGAAGTTTATTAAGTAGTGAGGGCGCAGCTGCCCTTTCAACCACCCTATAAATAGTCAAACCTGCTTATTACCACAAAGAGGACCACTTAAAGCCTTACATTCCTGCAGCTTAAGAAAATATGAGCTGTTTTTTTTACTTTTATAACCCAATATACTGTTGTTGTTTTTTTTTTTTTACTTTTGTCAGTATTTTTAATTGAACTAGATAATTAACAGTATATAAGGGATTATGCAATGAAATGTCTAATAACATAGCATCTTGTTTTGTCACAAATATTTATTCAACAAGTGTAACTTATATTGAACATGCAGTACCTTCTGGTCTATCTAGAACCGTTCCTTGGAAAATTTAGATATTCAGCCCTATTCATGGGTTTGGATCTTTTGTATATAATGTAATTGACAGTAAATGGGGGTTAAGGCAAATTATGAACCTTACCTGTGGTAAAGATACAATGAAGGCTAAATAACCACCTTATTACCACAGCATAATACCACGCTGAAGAGTTTAGTAGAATGCAATTTTTAATTCTACTGGGATTCTCATAGATTCAATGTCATGTTGGTACGTCTGTATAGGGTAAAATAACTGTCAAAAACAAAAGTATGCCTGAGGATATGAATTTGCAAATGTAAATCAATAAATGTGAGGAAAAGCTCATGTAAATATGCAATTTTCAGTACAAATCAGAAATGTACGGTTGTAAATCACAAATTTACTAGTAAAAATCATAAATGTATGATTTGGAATCACAAGTGCACGAGTACGAACTATAAATGTATAAGTGTGAATTTGCAGCCCTTACGTTTGTGATTTATAATTGAACATTTCTGATTCTTACTTGTAAGTTAGTGATTTTTACACCTGTTTTTTCAAAGTCGTTACTCTTCTACAAGCATCCAGAACTTCTTCACCTGTATTTTCAAAGATGAAAAATACTTACAGCAAGGAACAAATACAAGTCTTACATTTCCTCACATTTATTAACTTAATTCTAAAATTCAGACACATAAGCATACAATTTTTACTGAGAGCTACCTTATCCCTTACCTCGGAATATTATAGTAAACTTTCTTTAGACAGATTAGAGTGCAGAGGAACTTTTAAGAAGTAATCAAGGATTTTTGGTTTGCCAAGGAATAACACTTTAGACAGACACCTATTTATTAGTCTCTTTCAGAATTTAAAAGAGATACTATCATACCATTAAAGTGAGTGTTGACTTTCATCAGTCAGGAAATTTCAACCAGAAAATATCAAATCTGTCTTGCAGTCTGCCTCAGCTCTGTTGTTGTTTGGGAGGCTGGCTGCCTACTCTCTGTTCTGCTCCACCCTGCCAATTAGGGTAAGCAGTTACAATTGTCTCTCCCCTCCTCACCCTAATTCCTCCCAACTGGTATACTGCCCTGTTAACCTGACTGTCACAGTCAGTCTCTGCCAGATTGTCTCTTTGCCTGCATGAGGTTCATTTCCAATACTTGTGTGCATGGCCTGCCTGTTCTACAATCCTGTGCTTACCCTGCCCTCATTTGGTCCTCATCGGCTTCTGACTCTGGTTACAACCAGGACTGTGTCTGCCAGTCACCAGGCTGTTCAGCCTTCATCTCCATTTTCGAACCTGAGACCAGCCTATTCTGCCTACATCTCCAATTCAGTTGATCATATCCACACCCTTTAATAAACCTTTTAAGCACAACACAGTCTACAGATGAATTATGGGGTTATTTGCTTAATTTGTTACATAATCAATCACTCTTACCCATTTCCATAGTAATAGCAATAATTGATAAAACTAATCGAAATTAACAAATACAATAATATGAGAACCAATGTTTGCCACAAGCACAAAAAGAAGAATGGCAAGGCGGTGCAAAAAAATAAAAAAAAGTTTGAAGTTAGGAAATGGCTCTAAAAGCAGGATCATCTGGGGGTCAGTAATTATACATATACCAGCCTTTATAAGCTAAACCTCAAATAGTTGTTTGGGAGGAATGCCAGAGGAAAACCCTATCTTTCCACATAAATCCGGAACTTTAACTCATACTTGAACCCTATCCTTCGGTAAAACAAGACTAAGATGGAAGCTTTCTGCAATAAACCCCAACGGTGGATTTAGTGTAGGAGAAAACCCCTTCCCCTAAAAACGGGAAAATAGCATTTCATGACAGTGGAGAATCTCTATTACTGTGGGCCTCTTTCTAAAAAAGCCGAATGAGGTTTCAGGTTTATCTTGCAACAACACACAGTAAGGATGATAATAGGAGATAAAAAAAATAAATAAAACAAACAGTGGCATCTTTGAGTTACAAAGAATTTCATTAAAATGTATTTGCATGTATCTCCATCAGTGTTGCGGATAAGAAAACAAAAAACAATCTAAAATAGAGAATTTATGTATTTAACCTTTATATCTGCCTGAAGATTTTAATAAAAATGATTATAATTTAAGTAAAAACAACTGCAGATGCAGCAATAGTCCCATCTAAACAGAACTGGAACAAAATTGTGGTACAAACCACTAAATACTCACATAAGCAAGATATGATGAGTCAAAAGTAAGCACATGTCTTCCAGAGGTCTAATTTGGATATTGTTGAGAAATAAGTTTACTGAAACCTTCATGACTTTGCAGGATTGTATATGAATGTTAACAAATTCACTGTGCCCACTCATATCCTGTTTAAGGGAATCAGTCTCTTTTGGGGTGAGTTTTTTTTTTTTTTTTTTAGGTTTTACAATGTGTAAAATAAACTCACGTGTGCATCGGTTGTGGCCTTCTGGGTTCCTCATTCCAAAGTAACCCACCGGACAGGAGGGGAGGCAAACCCCTATCTGACGGATGTCATTGCGCTCCAAGAAGATGAAGAGCTTTGGATTGCATTTAATGCAGCCATTGTACTCAGAACATTTGTCACAGCCTTTGGGGCAGGATGGTGGTCCCTCAGTGCTAACTGCGGAAACATTAGGATAAACAAAAAGGAAGGAGCAGGCATAATGAGCTTGCAGAAAGTAACAGTGTGTACCTCTTATGAAGTTTTAAGAGGGAATAAAAAGATGGTATTTATCCAAAGTGGTTTATGAGATCACGGAGTTTCAGTGATTTTGTTTTCATCTCCACTGATCACCATAATAATACAAGCATTTAGAGAGTCTAAGGTTAAAGATACTATCTGGTGGTTTATTTTTTCTTGAACATGTAAGATTAAAGAATACATTTCCAATTAAGCACAACCAAAAAAATTGTTTGTTTGTTTTTTATAAAAAAATAGAAAAATAACTTCTTATTCTGCTTTGTACATAATTAGATCAAGGACATTTCAAGAAAGACAATTTTATTAGTAAACTTTATTAATCAACATAGACTATAGGATTCAAGTTGCAGGACTACAACCTCTGAGCTGAACTCAGATGACCTCAAAACCATGAAGGTTAATAAAGCTTAAGTAATATGCATTTAACCTGGTATGAATTTGTTTAAATTCCAGGTTGTTCTTTTTTTTTTTCACTTGGCCCAAAATGAATGTTTCCAATTTTTTTACTGATTCCTGCAATGTTCCCCAATACAGCTCAGCAAATTTAATGAAGCTGTATAGAACATAGGTATTCACTTTAAATGAATAGTTTAATTGTAAATGGACAAGTGAAAAAAAGAAAAGCAAATACTGCAAGCAGACATAGTAAAAGTTTGTCTGGTTAATTGTCTTATTCCATTTTAGTATTTTAACAGATGCATGTATGTCTAGAAGCTGTTTTTGACAAGGTTAATTAAATTATTCAAAGCAAACTAATAAAAAAATGGAAATCTATGGTCTACTAATTACATTTAAGGGTAAATTGACAAAACAAAACTCTGGATTGTAACTTAGGAATAGGATATAAGAAATAAAAACAGCAATTGCAGCCATAAAAGTCTAATACAGGCCTAAAATAGCCAACAGCACCTGATAAAAGGCAAGGCATGGAGAAGGCAAGTGTATTAATATTGCTCATTTCTGTGGCAAGATAGTTCAGTGTTCTACATAAAAAAAGTGAAACATAATCGGAATAGTACATTGCAGGATTATAAAGTAATTGAATAATTAATAAACTCAAATAATTAAAGGGAAAAAATTTATAATTAAAATTATGAGATGATAACAATTAATCATAATAATTAATTATCATAAAATGATGAATAAAAATCGATGACAAAAAATTCACTAATAATGTTTAGGCTACAGTATAAGGCTGCTTCTCCTTGTTTGGCTCTGGGTCTGGGTATGCAGAGTAGACTTGATCCAGGAAACCTGAGAGGTCTGGGCGGTTGATCCATAGACAACAGGTCTGTAATGTATTTTGGTGCTAAGCCATTTAGTGATTTATAGACTAACAGAAGGATTTTAAAGTCTATTCTCTGAGATACTGGGAGCCAGAGTTAGGACTTTAAAAATGGGGATATGTGAGTACAGTACATTTCCCGGTCTTCTTTCCAGCCAAGGATATGAATCAGCTCCTTTAATCCTCAAAAAAGCCGAAGAAAGCAACACAGAAGCAGTAACCTATATCATTTCTTGGAAACACATGTTATAGTGCACATCCTTACTAGCAGTGTTTCATTGGAAGAAAACAACAGTCATCTGAGTTGATTTACTGTGCTATTCTCTATCAGCTCAACGCGCACTCATACAGCAATCAATCTGCTGTGCTGCCTCCCAAAGATAAAGATGGAAGGCGAAACCCGTTAAAAGGTTTCTTCCAGGAACAGATATCTCCATGTCAAAGGAATGGTAAGCAGCAGTAATTAGGGTCAATTCTAGTTACTCTTTGTTAGAAAATAAGTCATAGTTAAAAATGTCCCTAAGTAGAAATCTGTTACCGTACGGCTAAAAAAAAAGAATCTTTACAGACTATGTAAATAAAACATATAAACTCCTTTTCATTCTCTGACATTGAATTAAATTATTTGATTTGAATCTTCTTTCATTAGATTAGTGAAGGTTAACAAAATTAGATTTCTTTAGCTTCAATCAATTGCAAAGATATATGACATAATTAATCTAAGCTAAATGAAGGCTGTGGGTATGTTTTAAGGTAATTCCCCAAATGTAATCCTTCCTTGTGTTACATTTCGTAAAATAAATTAGCCAAGATATTTACTGTTTAAGGCCATATTGGCTTTGGCAATCAATACGATTTAGCAGAGATCGACTGTTAAGGGGTTCAGAAAAAAAGAAAACAAACTCTGGCTCTCCAGTCTAGTTTATTCTTGGGGTGTCATTTTCTGATGCCTGAAGATGAGAAATTCATTTGACCAAGCAATTATAAGTAAGAATGATGGGGTTCCAGACAATAGTATGAACTAGTTTTAGTTTGAATTGTGTGTAGAAACCTCCGAACAAAAGCAGAAATCCTTATGAAATTGCTGCCTCTTGCTGGTAAGAAGGAATATTATTCATTGACAATAAAATTGGTCATTTACTGACACTGTTTGAAAGGACACTTGGCATGGAAGGATCATATCGTAGCATCATATCGGGTGCACTTTAAAATATAAATTCCATCGTCTCAAGACACTGATAATTAAGTTAAATATGGGGTAGATAAGCCTTCCAAAAAGAACCAAAGTATACCACCAAATTACTATCAAAACAAAGTCAGTGTTTTCCACTAATTTAATAAAAACAAACATAAAAATCAAGTCAAATTGGACCACGAACCTGACTCAATTAAATCTGATCTGTTAGAAAGAATGGAAAAAATCTGAGTGAAAAAAACTGAACAGGATGGAAATTACCTGTACAATAAATATCAAAGCAAGTGAAAAACAAATTTAAGTGTATGTTGAAAGAGACAAGAGTAAAACATGTAAAAAAAATAAATAAATAAATAAATAGAAAAATAAAGAATAGAGGAGAGTATAATAACATTTGGAACTTAAAAAGCAAGCAATAAATAAATGAGTTGTTAAATATAACATTTTAAAAAAGAATGCATCTAAGCAGGAGGAATAAAGACATGCAAAATGTGTTGTCGTGTATCAATTTAGAAGAATTAAAAAGACAATAATGGAGCTTAAAGAAGCTAAAATAATTAGATTCAAGTCATGCCATCGAAGAGAATTTAAAGAAAGTAAAAATCGAATTATTAAAAAAAAGAGAAAAATAGTAGAAAAAGTTGTGCGCCGTTTTTTTTATATAAAAATATGTCTAAACTCTAATTGATATGAGACCGGGCTTTTTAATCTTTGTTAAAGACTTTTCGCTGAAGCACATGGAAAACAATATTGCGTTCTTTAATTTTACTTTTTTTTTTTTTTATCCTTGAATTTAACTTCTGCTTAAAACAAAAACCAACACTAAATGATCTCTTCTGCTGTTTGCGGACCAGAGGTAAGGATGATTAAAACTGAATCTGATCACTTTGAAGATACAATATCTTTAAATCTTATGTGTAAATAATTCTCTTCAGCTGGCTGTGACATTCTAGGACTGGACCTTCTGAACACTATTAGTTGCTCCATATCTCCTGTTTTCATCAAAGTGCCACTAGATTAACTCTTACTCCCCCCTCCCAGTCTGCGTGCTTATATTAGCACCACATCTGTTACAGGGGCCACTTTTGGTATTATATGTATTCTGGCTTTAAGGAGACGGGGCGAGCTTGGCATACCCTGAAAGCTAGTTGTGTGTAAAGGAAGAATTATTTCAAAGCTGACAGAAACACCAGCACAGAGAGATATGCTGCAAGTCGATCCGGGCGCCCCGTCTTTGTAGTCATGTGAGGTCAGAAAAATGCTTACAATAATATTGGCCGTCTGATCCAAGAGAGAGCTTAGAGCTGTCAGGTACTCACTCTGTTATGTGCCCACACAGCCAGACACAAAATGAGCAATGGCTTTGAGAGGGAATCCATCAAAAAAAACCTCTATAAACAACTTTAATACCCATAAAAGTTTTGCATAAACAGTGAGAGGCATAATCTTAAAAGAGCAAGAAAGATGAGCCATTTTGGGGGAAACTCTGAACCTAACATAACCCGCCTTGGAAAAACAAATAAGAGTGAAGGGAAAACAAACAAAATGTTATCTTTATTTTGCTCTTTAAATGTTTATAAGACATCCACCGCAATGAGTCAGACCACAGATTAAAAAAAGAACAGCATTGCTGCAGTGAAAAAAGGAAAACAAATAGAAGAAACCAAAAGAGTGACAACTCACCTCGTCTCTGCCTTCTCGCCTTGGAGAGCTTGAGAACGTCGCTGTGACCCATGGAGCTGAGAATGATCATTGCCAGCGCCACCAGTCCCAGCTGCATAGTCCCTGCTGCCTTCCAGGCTGTGCAAGGCCCCCCCTTGCAACCAGATGGAACAGGTAAGGGGGTGGGGTTCCCCCTTCCTCTGTAGGGCAGGTGATCCCTCTGCTGCAGGTACTGATGGACCCTCTTCTCAAAACGTAGCGCTGCTCTTCTTCCTCTCCTGTATGCCTGTCCCTCCCCCAGTCTCTCTCTGTATCTTTCACTCTACTGGCTGATATATCCAAAAGTCTGAGATGTAGAGTGTGACGTTGCGATTACACATCCGGACATGTCCGAAGCACAACAAGTCATCATGTCAGAGGTGGCATAAACAGATGGAGATGGCGGGAAGTGAGGAGGGTTAGAGCAGAGGATGCAGAGGAGGTGTGTTGGAAGCGCTTGCAGGTCAACCCATGAACTTTATGAGGAGTTTGGAAACAAGCTTGGAGCCTTCTGTTTCAGCCAGATTTACTCTCGTTTGAATGTTCTGCTTCAAAGATGGAGGGAAATAATGGTGTGCAAGCTGACAGAAGACGGGTGCAGCTTTTTTTCCCCCATATGTGGTTGCACATCTGTTTGAATCACTGCCTAATGAGAAAAAAAAACAAAACATCATTCTGGTTTAGCATGGTGTATATGTGGAAAATTTCACAACCTCAAATTACAGACAAAATAAAGGCATATTCTTTATATATTTCAGAAAATATCTTGAGTTGGATTTTGGGGGGGGGATCTTAAATAATCCAGAATAAAAAGTAAAACAATATTGAAAAGATCATCAAACCTACTGACATTTTTTCACATGACAGAATTAAACCTATTTATGCCACTGTTTTTTTTATGGACCACATCAAGGTAACTAATCATTTAAGAGATATAGGCTTGTAACATTTTTTCTTTTTTTTTATTTCGTTGTTTTTATTTAGTGTTACACTGATACCAGTATCGGGCAGAGCCTCGATCCAGCACTAAAATTGTGGTATCAGTACCAGCGAGTACCATCAAATAGGACACCGATACCATTTTGAGAGCCAAAAGTTTATTCAACTATTGGCACCCATTCCAGGTCGGCAATAAAAAAGTTACACTGGATTCACTTTGTATTAGTCTTTTTCTTGCTTCACAAAGGTAGGCAGCCAAAAGGTCGGGGCCAAAAAATAGCTTTCGCACACTATCTTTATGTATAAAATACAGAAAACTGCTGTATTTCTGCTAAAAGTCATGATTGAGAAATAATAAACATGTGAAAGAAGGTGGTCCGTTAGGATAAGAACAAGACATAACTTTTTGGTTGATGTGAAAAATGCTTTATGTGGCTGAAAACTAAGACCTTGAACATAGCACTGATTGACTTTATTGATCTCACAGTGGAGAAATTCACATGTGACATTGGCTCAATAGTCAAAAAGAAGGTGCCAAAAGTAGGAAAATATATATATATCTATATATATCTATATCTATATATATCTATATAGATATAGATATCTATATATATATAGATATATATATATATGCACAGGGATGGAGGATGCTCCTGGGACTTTACAGCAACAGGACAGGGAAGCTGTCCAACATATATACTGCGCCATTTACAGTAGGAGTGTTTAAATGAAAGCATGCATCCATGTTTTTGGATGGCCTAGCCAAAGTTCAAATCTAGATTTAGCTCAAAGATCTGACAAGAATTAAAGAATAGACACTCTGCATTCAGTCTGCCTAATCCGAATCATACAAAGACCTTTTTGGGGCTATTATATAAAGAAATGTGAAAAAACCTCAAAAGACATAACATTTGTCAATTACTTATTCAGAATATAGATGAAAGCTTATAGATTGCAACATGCAAGCAGGAACAGCTAAAGTTTACTTATTAGCATAGTTTTTGTTTTTAAACTACATTACAGTCTTGTTCATATCAAAACTTTGCTGAGATTCATTGGTTATTCATTGGACGGATGGAAGGCTTTTCTAAAAACTTGGACTAAAACATTCAAGAACTTAATTTCAATTCAGTTTCTTTATATAACACTAATTGACTTTACGGAGACAATTGAACAAGATCATAAAGTCAAATTGGTTCAAAGTTTTCTAAGGAAAACCAGCTGATTTTACAGCAGCTAGCTATAAAATGGCATCAGCTCAGTCCTTATAAAATTAAAAAAGGGATTTAAACCCGGCTGCACAGTGGCTCAGTGCTACCCACTCTGGTGCCTTGCAGCAAGACGGTTGAGAGTTTGCATGTTCTCCCTTAGCATGCGTGGGTTCTCTCCTGGTACTCCGGTTTCCTCCTACAGTCCAACATCATGGCTGTTAGGTTAATTGGCTTCTCTAAATTCTCCTTAGGTGTGAGTGTGTGCGTGAATGGTTGTTTGTCCTGTTGGTCTCTATGTTGCCCTGTGATGGACTGGCGACCTGTGTACCCCGCCTCTCGCCTGTAGAAAGCTGGAGGTAGGCACCAGCACCCCTCGCGACCCCGCTTGTAAGAAGATGGATGGATGGATGGATGGATGGATGGATGGATGGATGGATGGATGGATGGATGGATGGA